TCCATACATGAGAATTCTTCCATTCAAAATATTCAGGCATGTACCCATAATTTTCTTATCTATGAAGATATTCTTTACTTAGAAGAAAAATGTAAAACACCTGTATAGCTACTGATTGACAAATAACTGTAGTAGGATTGTATGGACAGAAGGCTCCGACACAGATACCATCTGAGAAAATCAATTAATGTTTCGTTAACTAAAAAAAAAAATAATGAGGTTTATACTTTGGAAAAAGGAGAGCTTTATTTCTCATAAAGGGCCCACAGTGGTCATTCTGGCAGACTGGGAAACAAGGTTCGTGGCCACAAGTTTCAAGGGAGAGACAAAGGGAACAGGATTTTATACTGAGCGAGGTGGCTAAATATACATATTTAACAAGCTATAGGTGGAGTCATGAATATTTATAAAAAAAGAAAACATGTGTGTGTGTAATTGTGCTTTACAGCTCCCATCCTGTCATGGCTGAGAACTCAGTTTTAAGGTTTTCCTGGAGTCCCCTTAGCCGAGGTGGGGTTGGTTCAGTTAGTGGGGAGCTTAGATTTTATTTTATTTATTTATTTTTTTTTTGAGACAGAGTCTCACTTTGTTGTCCAGGCTAGAGTGAGTGCCGTGGCGTCAGCCTAGCTCACAGCAACCTCAAACTCCTGGGCTCGAGTGATCCTTCTGCCTCAGCCTCCCGAGTAGCTGGGACTACAGGCATGTGCCACTATGCCCGGCTAATTTTTTTAGATATATATATCAGTTGGCCAATTAATTTCTTTCTGTTTATAGTACTTAGATTTTATTTTTAGTTCACAGTTTACATGTGTAAACAACATAGAAGGAAGTCATCATAGTCAGGACACACAGCTGAACAATCAGCAGTACTCTCGTGGCCAGAGATATAAGCATCTGTACCTCTCATCCTCATTCAGGCAGCAAGGGTAGTGATGGTGGGGTGGTGAAGTTGGGGGGCACAATTGCAGATGTAACATTTGAGTGAGTGAGAGCCATGACAGACCCTCTGTATGCTAAATGGCCCCCTTACAAGCACGGTAGGATAGGCTGGGTATGTACCAGAAACCTCTGCATCAAAGTGGAGTGCCTCTCCTCAGTCTCAGGGTTGCCTCTGTGTGTGTACCACATGCATTATGACTACCAACTGCAATGTGGTACATTATACTCAGGTTGAACAAAGTTCTCATTTATCACTTCCAGCCTTCCCTACATGAACACAGCCTGGTCCAAGTAAGTTTCTGAACTTTGAGCAAGTTACCCAGGAGCCTCTGTGAATCAGGCAGACAGTCTCTTGAAGCAGATATAGCACTCGTCTTGCCTAACCCAAAGGCCAGAGAGTACGTGATTCCTTAATTAAATTATAATGTGATGAATAATAAGGAAAAAATTGGGATGTAACTATCTAATGATATGGAAAGATGTTAACAATATTTATAAAAATGAACAAATTAGTTTATGGAACAGCATGAATTAAAATATTCCTAACTCAATGTGTCTCATGCATAGGAAATGTCTGGCAGAATCATATGTAAATGTTTCAAGTGAATATCATGATTTTAAGATTCACTAATTTTTTTCAGCATCACTTTTCTGCATTTTCTGAATTTTTATAATGAGCATGTAATACTTTAAAATCAGAAATATAAAGAACAAAATTTAAATTCTCAAGAAAAAATATGAGACATTCTTTACTTTTCTTTTGAGAAATTATTTTCTAAGCCTGATAGAAAACCCATATTTGTACAAGTTTGGCAGCATTGGTTAGATGAAAACAAACTGTGATAACAGACATCATAAACTAAATACTAAACTCTGAGAAATTTTTACATTATAAAGAACAGACAAGTGCTGGATTTATATAATATAGCACTCTACTATACTCTACTCTAAAAAAGTAGAATATTTAGGCCGGGCGTGGTGGCTCACGCCTGTAATCCTAGCACTCTGGGAGGCCGAGGCGGGCAGATTGCTCGAGGTCAGGAGTTCAAAACCAGCCTGAGCAAGAGCGAGACCCCGTCTCTACCATAAATAGAAAGAAATTAATTGTCAAACTAATATGTATAGAAAAAATTAGCCGGGCATGGTGGTGCATGTCTGTGGTCCCAGCTACTTGGCAGGCTGAGGCAGAAGGATCACTTGAGCCCAGGAGTGTGAGGTTGCTCTGAGCTAGGCTTACGTCAGGGCACTCACTCTAGCCTGGGCAACAAAGTGAGACTCTGTCTCAAAAAAAAAAAAAAAAAAAAAAAGGTAGAATATTTAAAGACAAGCCAGCAAATTAAAAATAGATACTATTTGGATAGAAAAGGAAATAAAATAAGCCATAAATAGTTAAATAGATGTTTTATCTGGCTAGTGCTTCTGGGTATTCCTTTTAAAATCAGCACTGAAATATGGTTGTTCCCCTATCAGATTGGCAAAGATCCAAAACAGATTTATAGTTCTTATTATTTTGAGGTTTATACAAAGGGGATATTTCATAAAGTGTTGGAGAAAATGCATATTGCTACCAAATATTTGTCCTACATTTGGGCAATTCTCTGTGACATTTATGACTGGTTGAATGACTAGTTATAGTTCCCAGTGGATCTGCTACCCTATTGATGATAATAGTCATAATCATAACAAGCATTTATCTAGTGTTTTCAATGTGTAAGCTAATATTCTTGGCACTTTGTGTATATTAATTAATTTAATTACAATAACCCTATGAATTATGACATCCTTATTTCATAAATGAGGAAACTTAGGCACAGGGAGCTTAAAGTGATTTCCCAACATTTCAACAGGTATTAAGTGGCACAGCTGGACTTTCACTCCCAAAATGTAGGCTCCTACCCATTTTGTGCACTGCCTCTTAATCCCTGATCTGTATTTCTGAGAGTACCCCTGTGATACTGTGTTTAGTAGCTATCGGGGCTTAGAGAAAATCACAAAATCTCAGTGGTGTACGACAGTCACCGTCTTTTTTGCTCACATATCTGCAGATTGCCTGGTGGTTGGTTGGCTGATTTGAGCTGGGCTCAGCTGGGTGGCTGTAAACTGCAAGCTGGGTCTGGGTATGCTCTGCATGTCTCTTCTTAGAATCAATGGACTAACCAGGGAATGGTGATGGAAGAAGAACAAAGAGAGCAAGTGAAAGAACTATGATGCCTCTGAAGTTGTAGGCTCAGAATCGCCATGCTGTCACTTCTGCCTATATCCCTTTGGCCAGTGCCAATCATATATCTGAACCTAACATTAGAAATGTGGGGGCCAGGCATGGTGGCTCATGCCTGTAATCCTAGCACTCTGTGAGGCCAGCATGGGAGAATCACTTTAAGCCAGGATTTCTAGACCAGCCTGAGCAAGAGCAAGACCCTGTCTCTACAAAAAATAGAAAAATCACCCAGGCGTGGTGGTGGGCATGATGGTGCATGCCTGTAGTCCCAGCTACTCGGGAGGATCACTTGAGCCCAGGAGTTTGAGGTTTCAGTGAACTATGATGATGCCACTGCACTCTAGCTTGGGCGACAGAGTGAGACTCTGTCTCAAACAAAACAAAACAAAACAAAACCAATTAGGTTATTGTTACCACAGAATGTTATCACCTATTCCACACCATCTGAAAGTTTAAAACTCAATTGAAACATAATTCTTTAAGAATAAAAATAACACAAGTCTCGATAACAAAAAAACACTTATAATTATAAATAAGAATGTTATACTAAAGTTAGAAATGGTAAACGAATCAAAATTGCTTTTAATTTGAGAATGTGTTTCTTATATTATTGTAGTGGAATGAATGGTAGCCCCTGAAAGTATGTGCCCATGTCCTACTCTCTAGCACCTGTGAATATTACCTAATATGGCAAGAGATGTCATTATGTTAAGGATCTTGAGAGGAGTTTATCCTGGATTATCTGGAAGGACCCTAAATGCAATCACTTGTATCCTTATGAAAGAGATGATCCTTCAAGATGGATCCTGAGTGGCTAAGTTGGCCTAAATTCCCTAGAACTAAGCGGCTGTTTGCTGACTAGAGGTCACACACTCTGCGTTCCCCGAAAACCCCCACATTCTTAACTTTGGGACTTTCATAACTGTCTGTTCTTGTTTACATTGCCTGAACCAGCCAACAGACTGCGATCTGTATCGACCAATCAGAAGTTAGCAAGTGTAGACCAATCAGAACACAGCAAGTATCAACCAATCAGAACTCAGCAAATTTGCATCCTTCATTTGCATAAGCAAACTAGAATGGGAACCTGAACAGGAACTTTATAGATGATAACCACTCTCTTTGTCCTCTCTGACAGCACCTTTGTTTTGTACCAAAGGCTGCATCTTCTTGGCTTGTAAACTGGTTACTGGAATGAAATCTCTGTTGATTTTCTTAAAAGAAAATCTTTTACAGTAGATTTGTTGACCCTTATGAGAGGTAGAGAAAATTTACAAATATACAGAAGGGAAGGGCATGAAAACACAGGGCAGAGAGAGATGTTGCCGTAAGCCAAGGAATGCCAACCGCCACCAGAAGCTGGGAGAGACAAGGAACAGATTCTCTGCTAGAACCTCCAGAGAAAGTGTGGTCCTGCCAATACCTCGACTTTGGACTTTGAGACTCTAAAATTGTGAGAGATCAGTTTTTGTTGTTTGGAGCCTCCTCGTTTGCAAGAATTTGTTATGGCAGCCCTAAAAAACTAATACGGTTATCCTTATATACTTTATTGATTACACTTTGCCTTCTACATGAATTTCATATTCTCTATGGATTTTCCAATTATTGAGATACTATACTGAAAGAGAAACATAAGATAGTGAGCTCGCAAAGGAAATCAAGAATCAGCAGTAATATTTTTTAATATTATACCATACTTATACGTGGCTACATAGTTTTCACCCATTATTGATCACCAATGGCCAGAAGACAACAAAAACTAGTCAAGGTTTGCCTCTGATGAATCACAAATTGATTCTCTACAAAGAGAATTCTCCTGTTGTTCAAGAATCAACACATGGAGTATAGGTTTATACATTTATTTCTGCCTCATTCCATAAGATAGAGCAGGTGGTGATCCTGGAAAGGGGGTTCCCCAACAAAGGTTGTGGCAGAGGAGGAGGTCTCCAAAGGTGATGGTGGTGATGATGGTTTGCCATTTAGTCCAGGTAAAGGAGTTGAAGGAGGAGGAAAAACTCCTCTGGGAAGAGGTGGCGCTGGTAGAGCTGGTGGTGGGGATGGCCCTCTATCTGCCTGTGGAGGTTTTGGAAGAGATCTTGAAATCTACGTGCAAATTGAGTGGGCATGCTTCTGTAATACAAATAATCAAATGTTTAAATGCTTGCAATAAAATATGCAGCCCAGAATACATAACAATAGACATTTGTGGTTTTTTAGAGATTGTATACTGCTTATTAATATAACAACTTTCAAGAACTTAACAGTATGTGCAAAAGACTTGTATAGATATATGATAACGATTTTAAACCCTACACAATGACTATTTCTGTTAACACTCTAATGCTAGGAAAGTTGGCATCCTCATCAAAGGCCTTGTGTAACACTATTCCAAAACAATGAAAAATTAGGTTTCATGATAAGCATGTGCAAAAAAGAATTACTATATATGGCTTGGTCCTGTTAAACTAGTTACTAATTGGTTTATATATGGGTAATTAATACAAGGTCATTAGTTTGATCTTCTTGGGGGCCAAACAGGTTTTCACTAAGATTCTGTCTCATAGTGTAAGTGACCTAGCTGTCTACTAATAGTAATAACTAATAAAAAGTAGCATCCATTTGCATGGTAACATGTGCCTATCAGAGTTTTTACATCTATTATGTGTTTTGATTCTTATAAGCCTGTAATGTAAGTTGGGCAAGTAGTTTCATCTGACTGCTTGTAGATGAAGAAACTAAAAACCCCAAAAGTTTAAGTAATTGGTCAAAGGTCACAGAGGGTGAAACATGGTCAAGATCTGAATGCAGTTCTTCAAACGCCTAATTCAGTTCCCTTTCTACTGTAACAGACTAACTCCTCATAAAGGCGTCATTTCTGAGGACAGAACTTTGGGGAATGCCTCATGAGGAGGGGTGAAAAAAGGAGAGTAACTGACTTCTTAGAGGTGTGAAAAGGGAAGTAGGAAGATAGAAAAAAAATGAAGGGTTTATTGAAAAGAAATGATTAATTATAGATAAAGTGAAGCAGAGTGAGGCCTGGTCATTTGAAGTTCACTGCTAACATTTTTTTTTTCACTGTTGATTTTTTACTTAAATTTTCAGGAGAATGATGGAAACAGACCAATTTAATCAACAAACACCTAGTGATCATCTGCTGTGGACACAATCTTCACTTTCTGCACATTCCCGACAAACATAAGCTGTCTTGAAGAGAGTGCTTAAGGAGTTATAAAGTATAGACCACCTAGGAAGATTTTAAGTAACCATGGGAGCTTTCTTCAAAGAGAAAGTGGGTGGATATATGAAGTCTATGGGTTTTAAAAGATACTAGTCCACAGCGGGCTTTGGGGATCATTAAAGTGTTTGAGAATTTTCTTTTTGAAAGGAAATATTTTGGACCCAATTATGCACATTATAAACATTTTGTCTCAAAAGCAGTTTTGCTTGTGTAATATATTGTCACAAAACAGAGCAGTTAAAGAAACTAACACTTGACATACTCTAGTTTCTCTTCAAAATGAATAAATCTTTCGCCTTTCACTAAAGATTTCCATGGAGAGGGTCAGTTATGAGTTGGTTGCCAAATTTTTTGAGGTCTTGCTTAGGCAAGGCTAAGTAAAGAAAAAACAAAGAAAGAAAAAAAAAGAAAAGAAACTAATGCCTGAGTCTTTTTCGACACATAAAAATGGTTTATTATCTTGGAAAATCAAATCTATAGAGTTATTTTTTTTTTTGAGACAGAGTCTTGCTTTGTTGCCCAGGCTAGAGTGAGTGCCCTGGCGTCAGCCTAGCTCACAGCACCCTCAAACTCCTGGGCTCAAGTGATCCTCCTGCCTCAGCCTCCCGAGTAGCTGGGACTACAGGCATGCACCACCATGCCCAGCTAATTTTTTTCTATATATATTAGTTGGCCAATTAATTTCTTTCTATTTATAGTAGAGACGGGGTCTCGCTCTTGCTCAGGCTGGTTTCAAACTCCTGACCTCCAGCAACTCCTGACCGCCCGCCTTGGCCTCCTAGAGTGCTAGGATTACAGGCGTGAGCCACTGCGCCCGGCCTATAGAGTTATTTAAAGTAAAATGCAAGTTTGCCAAAAAGTCTTCTTCTGGTCATATTTTCCTTTCATCTTTCATAATTTTCTACCAAAGAAGTCAATGTGACATGACACAATCTATATCTTTAGTTTCGTTACCTGGGTTCCGCATTGCTAGAGTTTTGTTCCAAGTTCTTTGACTTTTTCTTCCTTTTTTTACACCTCGGCTTGAGCTTCGGATCAGTCTCAGAATTCTTCATTTATCTAAAATGATCACCACTATAAATGTACACGTAATATACTTGAAGGAAATTGCTAAACATTATTATATATGAAATAAAGCATTATTTGTTCCCTGAGTTCCTAGACCCTCATTCAGGACTATTTTCATGACAATTTGGTATCCATATGGGGGGTGGGGCTAGTGCTGTTAGTAGGAGTGGTAGTAATGAAGACAGACATCCCCAACCAAAGGCAAACAATCCCATTTTCACTTCTAGAAAAAAACAATAAAAAAGAAAACAATGGGTGGGCCAAGGAATATTTCTTTATCATGGGCATTTTAACTGTTGTGCTGTTGACATTTAGATCTTATAAATTAATATGTATTTTTAATGTTTCATACCATATATTATATATTTATGTTTAATGAATTAGAAAATGAGATCTAAAAATAAGGTGCCCTTCAATAGGTTCATGATTTTTTTTGAAAAACTGTGCAGTAAAGCTTTTCAGAAACACTAAATCCTGGAAACAACCCAAATGTCCAGGAACTGGTGAACTGATTAGTAAACTATATATATCCATATAATAGAATACTCATCAACAATAAAAATGAAGCACTGATACAGGTAACAACATGGATGAGTCTTCTCAAAAGCATAGTGCTAAGTGAAAGAAGGCAGAAACAAACGGATCATTACTCTGTGATTCTAATGTATGGATAAGACAGAAAAGGAAGGTCCAGAGAGCCTAAGTGCAACCATTTTGACTGAAAACAGACCCTAAACGCCCTGAACAAGGAAGTCGCCGGCAAGTCACTGACCCAGGACCACCAGAGGATGGGTAAATTACTAAGCTGGATGCCTTACAAACTGTTTGTGGTTACCTTTCTATGACAGCAGGTTATGATTAACCTTTATGGCCTGACCTCAAGACAGGCGAGGTGGCTCACGCCTGTAATCCCACCACTATGGGAGGCCGAGGCAGGTGGGATCGCTAAAGGGCAGGAGTTCGAGACCAGCCTGAACAAGAGCAAGACTCCTTCTCTACTAAAAATAGAAATAAATTAATTGGCTATTTGGGAGGCTAAGGCAGGAGGATTTCTTGAGCCCAGGAGTCTGAGGTTGCTGTGAGCTAGACCGAGGCCACAGCACTCTAGCCCAGGCAACAGAATGAGACTTTGTCTCGAAAAAAAAATTCCCACACAATTCACCAGCTTCTCAAAAAGATCCTTGATCATAAAAACTTAAGAATCATTCATTTATTTCACCCTCATTTTAGGAGAGGAAATTGAAAGCTAAAGAAGTAAATGATTGGTTCAAAATCAGTGTGATAGTTGATGAGGTCATAATGGGTTTATGATGCAGACTACCCTCTCTCACCTGATCCCCTTCTCTCTCCCTGCCTCAATGCTTTTGGCTAACAGAATATAACCACAAGGACCTGGCACATAGTGCAAGAAGCCAGTGTCTGCTGAACCCTGAGCCAGCTAGCCCAAGTCACTGGGAGAGTGTGTGTGCCAACTGTGTGATCCGTAAGAGGTTGTAAGCCAATACAAAGGTGTGACAGTAGTGCCTTATGACTCCCTCATCAAACTTGTATAACTTTCTAAATTGCCTACAGTGTGTATTATTACAATCACAAAAGAAAAACTACATCAGAAATAATAAGCTATTCACCTTTGAATGTTGCTGTGAGCCTGCCCTGTGCTATAGAGACAAGAATAAGATATAATAGACATTTAACAGCTGCAGTTTTTTTGTTTTTTTTTTTTTGAGACAGAGTCTCACTCTGTTGCCCAGGCTAGAGTTCCATGGCGTCAGCCTAGTTCACAGCAACCTCAAACTCCTGGGCTCAAGCAATCCTGCTGCCTCAGCCTCCCAAGTAGCTGGGACTACAGGCATGTGCCACCGTGCTTGGCTAATTTTTTCTATATATTTTTAGGTGTCCAATTAATTTCTTTCTATTTTTTTAGTAGAGATGGGGTCTCGCTCTTGCTCAGGCTGGTTTTGAACTCCTGACCTTGAGTGATCCACCCGCCTTGGCCTACCAGAGTGCTAGGATTACAGGCGTGAGCCACCACGACCGGCCTTTTTTCTTTCTTTAAAGGCACAAGAAATGAGTTCATGCAGAATCTTTCCCAACAGTAATTTCAGTTAGGTGTAAGTAAAACTGCTTAACTAGAAGGCCACATCGCTGAGTGTACTTCACAAGGGAAGTTTCCCATCAGCCTTCAGACATTCCAGTGTAGGATGATAGAAAGTCCTTTCCTCAGGAATCCAGGGGGACAAACAGGATCACCTCAAATTCTTTCCCAGCTCTACGATTTATGAAAATATCAGGCTACTCTGATAGCCTTCAAAGGTTTCAGATTACTGAAATAACCCAAGAACATAGCTATGATGATACTGGTCAAAACTTAGTGTATCCACGATGTCTACCAAACCTCCGTGGTACCAGTGCAAACTGGATGAAAACATTTCAGTTATACTTTTAAAAATCAAGTCATTCAACTCTAGTTAAAAAGAATGACTTTTTCTGGGGCTTGGAGTTTAAACTGAGTTCATGAGTGTTGCAACTTACTAGATAGGTTGATATTTCCAATCACACAGGGAGAGCTCTCGTGATCATCATAATTAACAACCAGAGCTATTGAGTACACATGGACACAGTGCCTAACAAGATATTAAGAGAGGAATTTCAGGGAGATTTAAAAGCAAGCTTATTGTACAGAAGGGAGTAAAACACAATGAAAGTACAACTGAGAATTGTATTACTTACCTATCAGATGTGTGAAATCAGTGTCTGATCTTTGTGTTTGAAGTATGGGTCCACACCTTCAGGGCAGTATTAGCTGTAAACCACACTCTTCTTCCAATACTGTGACCTGAAAAGGAAAGACAGTATTGTTGAATGCCTTTGCCAGATTCAAACCAATTTTCCTAAGTAAGCATTTAGCCTGGAAAAAAAAAAAAAAAAAACCAGTCTCTAGTTTAAAACACAAGAACAACAACAAAATCCCTTCCAGCCGCTACAAACCCTTGGGAGAAATAAGCCTTGGCCTGAAGATGGTCTGGACTTCATAGGGCAAACTCCATTGTGATGTCACCAAACTCGATTGTGAAGTCGCACCATGTAGTGACTTCATCCTGTAATGTGCTGGGATTTAGGCTTGTGGTCAAATATACCGATCAGCCTTTTCTGCTCACTTAAGCTCTTGTCCCTGAAGTTAATAAATTTAGTGAAATAAATAATCTATTAGCCCGACATCCGTGGATACAGAAATGTTCTCCCACACGTAGCTTATTGATTCCAATGATGGTTGAGTATCTTGGCATTAGGTTCAAGCAACAGTTTAGATTTTGTACAGCACTGTTACTCAAGTAGCGACACACAGTTTACAAAACTGGACTGAGCCACTTAAGTGTGAGGCTATTTAAGACCTGTTTTACACGTATTCCAAAAAGATCCATTTTATAGAAACATGTACACTTAGTATGCTTGGCTATATCCCCAACTTGTTCAAAGGTCTTAAACCATGTCCTACTTCCTTGAACCATCAAGGTAATTCTGGTCTTAAACCTGACCAATTTGTACCTGCCAAACAACAATGACACAGCACCTCTTGCATCAAAATTTGGAGGACATGATTATTTGTCAGTAACTAATAAATTTACTGGGAAAAATCAGTAGGAAGCTCAGGATACTTTCTCATTGCAACTTCCATCTCCAAATTTCTACAAGGCTGTCCCCTTCACCGACCTCAGGTCTTTCCTCCTGTGTCAACTACTTCTTCTTCTTCTTCTTCTTTTTTTTTTTTTTTGTTGTTGTTGTTGTTGCCCAGGCTAGAGTGAGTGCCATGGCGTCAGTCTAGCTCACAGCAACCTCAATCTCCTGGGCTCAAGCAATCCTCCTGCCTCAGCCTCCCGAGTAGCTGGGACTACAGGCACACACCACCATGCCCGGCTAGTTTTTTCTCTCTCTATATTTTTTTAGTTGGTCAAGTAATTTCTTTCTATTTTTAGTAGAGACAGGGTCTCGCTCAGGCTGGTTTCGAACTTCTGACCTTGAGCATTCCGCCCCCCTTGGCCTCCCAGAGTGCTAGCATTACAGGGTGAGCCATCATGCCCAGCCCTGTGTCAACTTCTGAGAGAGGCCTTAGCTATGCAATCTATCCAAAGGTGCCAATCCCATACCCACTCCACACTGTTCCCTTTCCCTGCTTAATTTTTTGTGTAGCACATATGACTATCTATTATGGTATGAATGTATCTTATTAATTTTATTTTCTCAGTCTCCCCTACTAGAATGTGAGTTCCCTGTGATCAGGGATTTTCTTTGTGTGTGTGACTTTCATGGCTGTACTTCCAGCATTAAGAACAAATCCGGCACATAGTACGTGCTCACCAAATATTTGTTGAAGGAATTAATGAAAATTACCTTTGGTCACCAGCCCTAATCTGCAGGCCATTCTCAGACGTGACACTGTTAACAGTATAGTGTGTTTCATTCTGAATTTCTTTCCACATATTTACATCCTGATACAACGGCCCATTAAAATTGATATATTATACCTCAATTAAGCTGATAAACATTTCTATAATACTTAAAACAAAAACCAGATGTTTCCAACCCTATTTGGAAACCCAAGCAACTATAGCTCTATAAATCTCTACCAGGGCCCTTCCACCCTTTTGCTACATCTTTTTTCTTTATTTTTCCCTTTCATTTACTAACATACTTCACTAGTTGGCTCCTTTCCTTCACTACCTTTTTCAAAACTCATTATTTTCTGTCCCTCAACTCCTCCAAAATAGGAATATACCAAATAAAAATGAGAGAAAATTTTAAAGTCGGGTCCTTTTAAGAAGTTTTTACTAGAAAGAATTTATTTCTCAAATTATCTTTTTATGGTTAATTTTTTAAAAGCTTAAAAATGATCTTGCTGTTGTACAAGTGAAGATAATTACCATCTAATGAGCTTTCTCATTTCTGTGAGAATGTTTCCTTCATAAGATTTTGCCTGGCCGTAGTCAATTTTATAGCCTACAATAAAATGTGGAGAATAGGCTGGGCATGGTGGCTCACACCTGTAATCCTGGCACTCTGGGAGGCCAAGGCAGGCGGATTGCTCGAGGTCAGGAGTTCGAAACCAGCCTGAGCAAGAGTGAGACCCCATCTGTACTATAAATTAGAAAAGAAATTAATTGGCCAACTATTATATATAGAAAAAATTAGCTGAGCATGATGGCGCATGCCTGTAGTCCCAGCTACTCGGGAGGCTGAGGCAGCAGGATTGCTTGAGCCCAGGAGTTGGAGGTCACTGTGAGCTAGGCTGACGCCATGGCATTCACTCTAGCCTGGGCAACAAAGAGAGACTCTGTCTCAAAAAAAAAAAAAAAAAAAGGTAGAGAATAGCAAAATTAAACACACTCTTTAAAAATAAATAAATAAATAAACTCTTGATCAACTCTTTTATTTTTGGTATTTTCACTCATATTTCTCAGCAATATACTCAAACTTTGATTTAGTTGTTCCTGTTCACTCTTTTTCATGGATAATTTCAAAAAAGTAGATAGAACAATACATCAAAAATTCCATATACCCACCAACCAGCTTCAACAGTACTTTACATTTTTCTAATTATGACTTATTTGAGTTTTTCTCTGTAGTATTTCAAAGTATATTCAAGATATCAGCCTTTTTCTCGTCCTCGTTTCCAAGATGACAAAGGAAAAAAGGAACAACGGTTGTGCCAAAAAGGGCCGTGGCCATGTGCAGCCTATTCGCTGCACGAAGTGCGCCCGATGCGTGCCTAAAGACAAGGCCATAAAGAAGTTTGTCATTCGGAACATAGTGGAGGCTGCAGCTGTCAGGGACATATCTGAAGCGAGTGTCTTTGATGCCTATGTGCTTCCCAAGCTGTATGTGAAACTACATTACTGTGTGAGTTGTGCCACTCACAGCAAGGTAGTCAGGAATCGTTCTCGGGAAGCCCGCAAGGACCGAACACCCCCACCCAGATTTAGACCTGCAGGTGCTGCCCCAAGACCTCCACCAAAGCCTATGTAAGGAGTTGAGTCCTTGAGGACTGAAGAAAAACTATCCGTTGGAAAAAAATAAAATGGAGATTATACTTAATATAGCATGTTGAATATGTCTGTGCCAGATAGAGTGGAAGTTTGTGTTATACCAGGTGTTCAAGTGTGAATTGTCACATAATGTTTTCCTTTGAAAGAAAGCTAATCTGTGTGAATTAAACTTTAACTCTTGTAGTCTTAAAAAAAAAAACATATCATATGACTTTACTCATATATCCTAAGAAGTTATCTGCTTCATACACTCTATTGTATCATACAGTTTAACAGATAAGTTCTTTAAAAATAACCAAAATTTACTCGAGGGGGGAGGGGGGCATGGGCAATATAAGTAACCTTAACATTTGTACCCCCATAATATGCTAAAATAAAAAAAATAACCAAAATACCATCACTGCATCTAACAACAATTACAATTATTCCCTAATGCCACATGAAAACATCATTGTCCAATTTCCCCCATTGCCCTAAATATGCCTCTGAAATTTGAGGCATCCTGTTATTAGGATCTGTTAATAAACAAGTATCACACATCCCATTGGTTGAAATACCTCCTAATCCTCTTTTATTTTATTTTTTTTTTTTGTATATATTTTTTTTAGTTGGTCAATTAATTTATTTCTATTTTTGGTAGAGACGGGGTCTCGCTCAGGCTGGTTTCGAACTCCTGACCTTGAGCAATCCGCCCGCCTCGGCCTCCCAAAGTGCTAGGATTACAGGCGTGAGCCACCGCGCCCGGCCCTAATCCTCTTTTAATCTGTAACAGCCCACCCCAACATTTCTTCCATCAAAAGATTGTATTATTTGTTCTGTATAATTACATTCTAGATTCACAGCGTGCATCTTTGTGACAAACATGTTTCATTAGACACTACCTTGTACTTATATCTATGGAGTTGGTTAGATTGATACTCATTTATTTTAGCAAGAACATTTTATAGCTGATGCTTTGTACTACAATCACTTCACATCAGATTGCCCATGATATACGTTTCTCACAGTTTTGCTGTAAAGATTGATTGGTGGGTTGCAGTATTCTCAACTTGATTCATCTGCATTGTAAAATTTTCCATTAATATTTTACCTAAATGTTATTAAATTGATATGTTAGTTTACTTTTTTGTTGATGGGAAATCTATATACCACACAATACAACATATTAAAGTGTAATAAAGGGCTGTGAGTCAGAGCCTGAGCCCAAGGCTGGGAGTAGCTTTGAGTTCTGAGTATATTTACAAAATTGTCTACTCACAAAATGTGATCTTGTGTCCTCCACATATCATAATGTTTTCAAGGCTTATCCATGTATTGTAGCATATATCACCGCTTCATTCTATAATTTTATAATTCCATTATATTAAACCATAGGAATAGGTCAAACTTTTTGTTTAAATATTCATCTATCAATGGGCATTTGGATTGTCTTCCACTTTGGGGCTTTATGAAGAATGCTGTCACAAACATTGATGTACAAGTTTTTGTTTGAATATCTGTTTTCAATTCTCTTGGGTGTATACCTAGAAGTAGAATTGCTGGATCATGTGGTAACTGTATGTTTAACTTTTTGTGGAAGTATCATGCTGCTTTCCATAGTGGATGCATCATTTTATTTTCTCACCAGCAGCATATGAAGGTTGCAAGTTCTTCACATCTTTACCACACTTATTTTCCATTTTGTTTTTATTCTAGCCATTCTAGTGAGTGTGAAGTGGTATCTCCTTGTGGTTTTGATTTGTATTTTTCTAATGACTAATGTTGTCCAATATTTTTTCTTGTATGGGGAAAGCAGAGAAGTTGCAGCGTGAGAGCCCTGTATGTGCGAATCCATCCTATGCCACCCTATTCTGCCTTGGCAAAGCCATTTAGCTTGCATGGACCTCAGTTTCCTGGCACAATGAGTAGTTGTTGAATTTGTGTTTGTCTAGGAACAGGGACAGAAAAAAGGCTGTGATTTGGTTCTCCGAATGAGGGAATGGCCATTACTCCCTACAGTGGAGGAGGAGAAAAACAGGGAGG